GAGGCGACGGGCCGGTGTGGGCTTGCTCATAGCTCCCCAGCTTAGCTGCCATGTGTTGGAGTTTACCCCGGTGAACGAGAGGGTCGCTTAAGTCAGACTTGTTTCCAGTGCATGTCGGACTCCGGCAGGGCTGCCCTTTGTCACCGGTTCTGTTCATTGTTTTTCTAGACAGAATTCCTAGGCGCAGCCAGGAGCCACTAAAAAAAAAACAGCTTTCATATCCAGAACAGACCTTGAGCTTAGCAGAAACAATATCAGCAGACAACTACCTCACCTCTGCTTCTGCTTCCATCTTCTCCTCCTTTACCATTTTTCTCCGCCATGCATTCAGCCAGAAACAGGAACATGGTCTGGGTCAATCTCTCATCTTGTGCTGAGGTGGCCTGAATAACAGAGCACACGTATTATTTTCAGAGAAAGCTTTGAGGAAAGTGAATGCCCGTGTAATAAAAGCCTGCTCGTACCTGCATCACCAGACTCATGACAGACCAGAAGTGATATGGGTTCTTGGTGATGATTTTACACAAAGCCATTCCTGACTGTAAAGATGGAAGATTCCCATCAATAACCTCTTCGTTATTCTGTACATCATGTGTGTTTGCATGTTCACGCGCAAGGTGGAGACGGGCCTTCTCACCTGCTGCATCTACTCCCCCACCCGAGCGTAGGCCACGAAGAGGTGGGAGTGATACTCCTCACTGAGAGGCACCTTCTTCACTGCAGCTTCATACAGTTTGGTGACCCACTCCGCTATGCTCAGGACCTGAGCAGGAGAGAAGACAAAAACAAAGCAATAAGGAGATAAGGAAAACAGAGCAGGGACTGACCATACAACACAGCTGTGAGGAGCCACAAAAACAGCCAAGTCAGTGTCTGGAAAGGCAAGTAGGAAAATTTCACAACCAACTCTGATTGAGAATTTAGTTGTTTTTGTAGTGCTCTTTGCTTAGACTGCTGCCCCCGCGACCCGGTCCCAGATAAGTGGAGGAAAATGGATGTGTGGATGGATGGATGGATGGATGGTAATAAATAACTTATTAGTTGCTTAATGTAGATTTTTTTCACATTCACCAACAAATTTATACAGAATTGCTTCATTTTCTTCACAGGGAATCTGTGAATGTGCCGCCTGCACAGCAGAAGCAACAGTTTTCTTTTTGGAGAGTAATTTTGAGGATTCGCAGTCATGACAGCTCCACACAGGCTGGGATGGTTTTCAGTGAGTTTGGTCAGAAAAAAAGAATCACAATGGAGATGAGAGTGGGCCAATGGCAGAGCAGGGAGGTAAAGGTTATGGTCTTATCGCCAAATGAGAATTTTTGCTTGGTGAGAAACCCTGAAAACCTTCTGACCTGATGTGAAGAGCTGAGTTAGTGAATGCCAGGTTGTAAGGAGGAAATCTAAAGGTTAGTAAAACTTTAATAATCAAGCGTATTATCAACACTAGTGTAAATCAGCAAGGGCTCACTCGTAGTGACAAACTAAAGGAATGACCACCAGCAGATTTACTGTATGGTTCAGCCTCTCATCGACCCCAACAGCAGACAGAAGAAGTTAGCGACTAGCTGGCAGAAACATTACTCCCTGGGCGACAAACTTTTTTCTCAATTGCACAAATCCTTCAACAGAACATTTGAAAACAACAATTCTGCACAAAACAGTATAAGTTATCAGAACTTAAATAAATATACTCTGTATACAAAAAAGTGTCAGAAATACTGTATGTACAATCAGAATATAACAAGAGCAGAGAACAACAATAATATAAAATATTAAGAATACACAAATAAAATATAGAATAAATATTCTAAATAACACAAATCTTTCATCACACAAATCACACTAAAGAAAATCTTATTATTACACTGCACTAAAAACAGAAAACTAAAATCTGACCTTTCTGGCCTTCCTTGATGCAAAATCATCAATAATGTCATCATACGAAATCTGCTCCCCTATTGAGTGATTGATACTGATGATAGCAAGGCCAGTGAGCCATTCCTGAGATATGGTTGACCTCAGGTATGACTTGTTCAACTTCAGTTTTGAAAAGCTCCTTTCTGCTTGAGACACAGTGACTGGCGGAGTAAGCGCAATCCTGAGAGCAGTCCAAAAGTTAGGGCAGATCTCTGATAGATCCTTATCTTGCAGAAAAGTGATGAGCTCAAGAAGGGTCATGGTTTTTGATGGCAGGTGAGGGAAGTTCTTGATTTCCTGCACAAGCTCTCTACTGTCCAAATCAGAGTGCCCTTCAAAGTGCAGTGTTGTGCCTAGTACATTGCATTGCTCTGCCAGCTCCTCATCTGGAAGACTTGGGAAATTTGTCAAAACCCCAAATTTGTTTTCCACATTTTGCAATATAGTAAACCTCTTCCTGATGGCTGACATGGCTGCATCATCAACAACATTGAAGAATCCAACCTCCATCTTCCTAAGGGCATCACTGAAAGGCTCATCATGTGACTCATATGAGAAGTGGCGGGTTGTGGACCGC